TGTCACTTAGCTTAGAATTGAATGTTTCAATTAAGTGAAATTGCTGTTGTAATGTTTCTCTTAAGTGCCAAAGCCTTTATGAAATATAGAGATTATTTATCAACATCTAACATATTTGTAGCTGATATTTGTCAATGTCTTATTAATACGAGGAGTTTTACTTAATTTTGTGAGCTTGCTTCATAACTTCGTTGGTTTTCTGTCTTTCCATCAAGAATGCTAAATTCATTCTCTTTCAATTAATTTGTTTATAACAGTTTTGGCAGTTTCTATGGATAAAAGTTGGATCGACATAAGAGATATTCGCTCAAAAGAGTATGTTGTTGGATTTGAGAAATTTTTGGAATTTGCTACAAAAAAACTTGACAGATTATAACTCAACTATATGTTGTCCATGCATTAAGTGTAAAAATAGATACTTCAAAGGCATAAGTGATGTGAAGTTCCATTGTTGTCTTTGGGGATTTCATAAGGCTTATAAAATTTGGGTATATCATGAGGAAATGTATGCATCTCTACATGAAAATCAAAACCATGAATCTATGTCTCATTTTGACTCGGAAGACGATATGGTTGGGATGCTTGAGGAGGGAATGGGCATGCATATTGATAGATAATTTTTAAGTCAAACCTTAGGAGACGATGTCGGACCTAACAATGATACGACAAAGTTTCTTGAATTATTAGAAAATTCTGAAAAAGAATTGTATCCAGGCTGTGAAGAATTTACAAAACTCTCTTTCATCACACACTTGATGCAATTGAAGGTTGAATCTAATTGGACCAACAAGTCATTTACAACACTTCTTAGGTTGCTCAAGAGAGCTCTTCCAAAGCCGGCTAACTTACCAAATTCATATCAGGAGGCTAATTAGATAACTAAAGACTTGGGTTTCACTTGTAAGACATATGATGCATGCCCTAACAATTGTATGTTGTTTAAGGGAGAAGATGAAATGAAAGATAGATGTGACATATGCGAAAGCTCTAGATATAAGGAAGGTAGTAAAGAGATAGCTGCAAAACGAATGAGAAACTTTCCATTAAAACCAAGACTTCAAAAACTTTTCATGTCTTCAAAGACTGCTTCATTGATGAAATGGCACGTAGACGAACGTAGGGATGATGGGATCTTTAGACATCCGGCTGATTCTCAAGTTTGGAAAAAATTTGATAAACAAAATCCATCTTTTGCTGCTGATCCTAGGAATGTTAGACTTGGGCTAGCTACTGATGGCTTCAATCCATATGGTAGAATGAATTTGAGATATAACACATAGCCAGTGATGCTTATAATCTATAATTTGCCCCCTTGGTTATGCATGAAGCAACCTTTTTTCCTATTATCTGTGCTTATTGAGAGTCCCAAAGGATCTGGAAACAAGATTGGTGTTTATTTGCAGCCGTTGATCAAGGAATTAAAATAATTGTTTGATGTTGGTATACAAAACTATGATGCATCTACTGGAAAAATTTTCTTGTTAAAAGCTGCTCTTTTATGGACAATAAGTGATTTTCTAGATTATTCAATGTTATCGGGTTGGAGTACATGGGGTAAGAAGGCATGTCCTCGTTGTGCAGAGGACACTAAGTCTTGTCGTTTGAAGCATTGGAAAAAATATTATTTTATAGGTCATTGCCTATAATCAGAGAAGTGCACCTTTCTCCAATACTTCTATGTCTCAACCTATTCAGCATCATGTGATTAGGTCTCAGTCTCAGTCCAAAATGCTTACATCTCAAGTTTGACTTTTGCATAGCCAATTACAATCATTTTCCCAGAGCTCATCAAGATATGGCATTAATAATTCAAGTATGAAAACAAGTTTCAAATCAGGTTCAACATCTTTTTTTGTGTTTCTAGAGTATGTGTGATATAAAATAACTGACACAAATTTTTCACTTCTATGTGAACAGTTCAATCTGAAAATACTAAATAGGAGCTAGCACAAGTGCAAGTACATCCTCAATGAATAAGATGAATGAGAATAAAGGTGTAAGGGGTCCAACTAAATAGTCCAACAAGTAGAACACAAAAGAGAAGCATATTGTGTATTTAACTGAGGAAGGAGAGATTGTAGGACCAGATAAAGGGTCATTATATAGTAACCTTGGAATCTTGACCCGAAATGACTATAGGGTACCTTTGACTTACCCGTCTTGGACAGAGGTGCCTATTAATATTTTAGATGATCTTTGGAGAGAGATGCAAGTCAGTTTAGTTTTTGCTTTAAAAAAGTGTGAATTTTCAAGTCTTTATATACATATCTATATTAATAACATATTTATATAGGTCAATACTGATTTGCCAAATGAGGCTAGAGAATTGATTCTGAGTAGTATTGGCATTAAGTGGAAGAATTGGAAATACCGAGTGAAGCAAATGTATCTAGCAAACAAAGACAATATTGAGAGAATAGCACAGCTACCTGATGAAAGGATTGAACCTCAACAATGGAGAATCTTGATTTCATATTGGAGAAAGGAGGAAATTCAGGTTATTTTAATGTTTAGCTTTTGACTCACCTTTTAGAGTAAACAGCTAATATGTACATGATTAGTAGTATGATAACAAAGTGACAATTTTTTATGGTCTATGCAAGCAACTATTGTTAACAAGTAATTTATGTGTACATGATTGCAAACATGTTAAAACGAAATAATTTGGAGAAGAATGTGGTTACTCTTTAATTTAATTGGATGATCATGTAGGCAATTGCAAGGAGAAACAAAGATAGTAGGACAAAATTGTATTTTCCTCATAGGACAGGAAGGACTAGCTTCAAGAATATAAAGAGAAAGGTACCTTGTTAGTTGTTTAGTCTTCATGTTCTCTATGCATTTTCCAAATGATGTTCTAACTCATGCTAATAGCCTAGGTGGAAGCCGAAGGTATGGATACATCTCTTGTGAACCTTTTTTGTGTTACACGTGAGCCTACCAGGGATGAAGATACACGTAATCTAATTGTAAGATTACCTATTCTTTTGCCATCATTTTCTTTTTTTTTTTGGTTAGCAATGTCACTGTTTATTCTTATGGATTTCATGTTTTAATCAATTGCTTGTAGACACAACTTAAAGACAGCTTGTCTCAAGTGCCCGAGGAAGAGCAAACTGAGACATTCAAGAACAATGTGTGGGTTGAGCATAGGGGACTGGACACACGAGGTCACGTTAGACGCGTGGAGAAGTATACCTCTGTGGGCCAAAGGCATGTACCAATGAATGATAGGAAGGCGATTATCCAAGAAATAAAAAATCAGATTGTTGAGGAGGTACGAGAGGAAGTATTACAGCAAGTTAGAGGAATGACCTCACATGAATCGAGAGAAGAGATAAGAGTAGAGTTTAGTGCACAATTTGAGTATATGCAGAAGACCATTAGTTTCTTAATGTCGCATTTGGATGTTAATGCCTTACCCATGCTTCTAGATTGGATTTTTGGTGCTTTTCCTAGTCGACAGGTAACGAAGTTTCAGAAAGTTGTCATGTTTGTATTTCATTTCATCCACGTATCTAATATAAACTAATATCTTAAAGGGTCTAGCTGAGTCTACTAATCAAGGAGGATTAAACTTGTGATAGATTTGGTAAGTACTTTTAGATTTTCTCTTCCCTTCTTCATGACTTTGCTGTTGAATACCACCCTGTTGCAACTTGATGTTCTGATTGCTGCATGTTATCTTCTGTTTTCTCAGGATTAGGCAAATAACTAGCTTCACTCAATTTGAGATGCCTTAACTGAGACATCAGCCAAATCTTTGGCAGCAAAGTTGGATGCTTTTCAATCTCTTGCTTGTCCAAGGACCATAGACTATGATTATCTGCAGATTCTAGTGAGTGCAAGGTGCTGACTTTTGAGTGATGGTTAGACTTTTGAGTGTTTGCTTTGTTATGATATGTATAGTTTGTTTTGTTATGGTAGACCAACCATTTATGCAGTGCCATGTTGGGTTGGCATTAATAATCAACCATTTATTTTGCTGCAAATAAATTGTCTTTTTCTTATTTGTCCATCACGTGAGGCTTATGGTTGGATTTCTTTCTAGTTTTGGGCTTTCAAAAAAAATATGAAAACCGGTTGAAAAGGAGAAAAAAAAAAAAGAAGATGCTTTTGTGACTTGCAGTTTTGCTAGTCACAAGGTTTTTGGGTCTCACTTTTAATGGTTAATTAGTGGGTCCCGATAGAACTTGTGACCAACAAAACATGACACAAAAGATCTTTGATGACTATTACTTGCATGTCACAAATAAATTCTAGTTTTTTTTGACTTTTTATTACATTCAAAATGCAAGTCATAAAAAGTATTTTTACAAGTCACAATTGATAATGTGACTTTCATATTCAAGTCATAAAAAATTTGTGACTATTAAATCCGTGACTTTCATATACATGTCACAATGTAGTCACAAAAAGTTTTTGTGACTCTCTGAACCTTTTATGACTATCATTAACAAGTCACAAAAACAGCTTTTTCTAATAGTGACATTCCATAATTTGTGAGTAATGCTATATTAAAATTGAGTTAATTAGACCCTGTTTAGCTAAATTTACTTTATATGGTCAATTAGAGCTCCTTATGACACAGTTTTGCTTATAGCGAAGTCAAGCAAGATCAAATGATGAACAACCTCGTAGATAGAAAAAATAACACAAAGGATAACAATGTAGCCATATATAGACTAAATTATGAAAGAAATATATACATCGACCTATTGATAGCAAAAATAACAAGACAAGATACCCAACAGTTGCAATTTAGGCAATTAATCACGATTCTAATGTTGATGCCTAACTTTTATGTGGCTACATCACATCATATAAAGAAGAAATGAAAATGTAATCCCCAAATAATCACACCACGAAGCATAAATAAACTTGATTCCTTTTTAGTTAGAAGGTTAGGTTCATGGTGGTGAAACAGTTTGACTCACTCAGGAAACTTAAGAAAAGTGACAACATACTCCAACCCATGGAACTAGCAATTCAAAGGTTGCTCATGTAGGTTCACGTCCTTTTGTCTTGGTTCTTGTAGGACCTTTAGCTAAATGACTCTTAGGATATCCATCCACTTGTCCAGTTGAGTCCCTAGAATTCAATGTCTCACCTGCCAAAACTGATTTCTTAATCTGCCAGAGGAGATGGAATTGTCAAAAAAATATGAGTTAATGTTGTTTCTCGGTGTGAATTCATGTATACACATGGAAAAGTGCCTGCAATCACAATAGAAAATGAAGCAATACATACCATTGCAAGTTGTGCTCTATGAATATCACTTGTAAGCTACAAAACCATAAGATGATCAGCATCAGAAAAGCTCTCCAAGCTATATCATAAATCAAAACTTGACCAAAGTGTATAAATTTTATATTAAACTTCAAAGGCAAAATAAGTTATAAACTGCAAAACCATAAGATGATTAGCATCAGAAAAGCTCTTAAGCTATATCATAAACCAAAATTTGACCGAAGTGTATATATTTCATGTTAAACTCCAAAGGCAAAATAAGTTATAGGCTGCTAGCACAAAAAGAGCAATCAAAATGTTTTACTGGCCTTTTGTACATCTTAATCTGATACGAATCTCGTTGGGGAGAAGATTCGTGATCCAAGATCGCTTGTTGGAGTTGACGTCGGATGCAAGAAATGGTAGCAGCGGAAACCCTACGACACCTCTAATCCCTGTGACTACGAACTTGTTGATATTATCTCAACCCGTAATCAAACAAATTAGCGAACCTCAAGCAAGTGTAGAAGGCGCCACAATTCAAGTGTGGTTCTTGAATTGATAAGCCAAACAAGAACACTAGAGTAAAACTCTAAGTTGTTCAAGGGTTGCTTGAAAGTCATGGAGAAATTTCTCACACTAGGTTTTTATGATAAAAGTGTCTACCTTTCTCGATGTAATGTAGTGCCTTATATAGGCTACAAGTAAGAAACCCTAATCTAGTAAGGAAAAGGACTAAAGGTGCGGTGGATATGGGCCCTAATAAGTGACAAAATGGAAACGGAAGTTACGGGCTCAACCCTCATCGGGTTGGGCCTCACGTGAGCTTTCCTTCCTGGGCAGCCCACTCTAGCGAATAGTAATGAACAATATAGCAATCCTACCCTTGGCGATTCTACGTGCAACATGTATTTAGCCAATTATTCAAGCTATTCAACTAATGTGAAAATAACTGACTATGATACTAAAACGGAAACCTTAATCCTCAGGTGTGGCTTCAATGCTCATTACCGGGCCGCTATCACCTTCACTTGAGTGTATGAATCTTTCAAAGGACTTGTGTATGGCCTAAATAAATATATTGAGTTGCTCACGAAGTCTCTTCGCTCGAGCCCTAGTAATGGATCTGCTTGGAGCAAGTACGCGATCCTCAGCCCCTTGGTCACTCGAACCATTGTTGGCGTACCCACGTACCATGATGCTATCATTCCCCTCCCCTTGAAAAGGATTTGCCCTCAAATCAAACGCATCATCTGCATCAAAAGGAGCTAAGTCAGAAACATTAAATGTAGCACTAACTCCATACTCACCAGGAAGATCAAGTTTGTAGGCGTTGTCATTGATGCGCTCCAACACTTGAAAATGACCATCACCCCGTGGTTATAATTTGTTTCTCCTTTGAACAGGGAAACGTTCCTTGCGCATGTGCAATCACACCCAATCGTCGAACTCAAAAATCAGCTTTTGGCGACCTTTGTTAGCTTGCTTGACATATTGAGTAGTTCTTCTCTCAATGTTGACCCTGACTTTCTCATGCAGTTACTTAACAAACTCTGCACGTTTCTTACCATCCAAATGTGCGCGCTCATTACTAGGTAATGGCACTAGATCAAGTGGTGTTAGCGGATTAAAACCATAAACACATTCAAATGGAGAGAAATCAATAGTAGAATGGACAGCCCTATTATAAGCAAACTTTACATGAGGTAAACACTCTTCCCATGACTTCAAGTTCTTTTTGATGATGGCGCGCAACAAGGTATCTAATGTACGATTCACCATCTCAGTTTGACCATCAGTTTGAGGGTGGCTAGTAGTAGAGAATAGCAATTTGGTGCCTAACTTAGACCAAAGTGTCTTCCAAAAATAGCTCAAAAATTTGACATCTCTATCAGATACAATGGTCCTAGGAATGCCATGCAATATCACAATCTCTTTAAAGAATAAGTTAGCAATATGAGATGCATCATCTGTTTTATGACAAGCAATGAAGTGTGCCATTTTAGAGAATCTATCAACTACCATATAAATGGAGTCATGACCATATTTGGATCTAGACAAATCAAGTATAAAATCTATAGAAATATCGACCCATGGTGCACTAGAAATAGGTAACGGGGTGTAAAGGCCATACGGGTATACCTTGAATTTAGCCTTCTTACAAGCTAAATATCGTTCCACCACCTATGCAACATCTCTCCTCATGTGCGGCAAATAGAAGTGTTCTTGCAGTATGGCAAGAGTCTTATCAACCCCAAAGTGTCCCATAAGTTCACCTGAGTGGGATTCCCTTACCAAGAGTTCTCGAAGTGATCTATGTGGGATGCAAAACCGATTGGCACAAAACAAGTAACCATCGGAAATGAAGAACTTACCTTGCCCAGTGTGTTTGCAAGAAGTGTAAAGCTCAGCAAAGTCACTATCTGGGTATAGAGCTCTTTAATCAGCTCAAACCCTAACAACTTAGCATCTAAGGAGGTGAGTAGAGAGTACCTTCGGGAGAATGCATCCGCAACCACATTAGACTTACCAGCCTTGTATTTAATCACGTATGGAAAGGACTCCACGAAAGTGATCCACCTTGCATGCTTTTTGTTCAAGTTGTGTTGGGCCTTAAGGTATTTAAGGAACTCATGATCAGTGTGTATCACGAATTCCTTAGGCCTTAAGTAGTGCTGCCACACTTGTAGTGCTTGAATGAGGGCATACAACTCTTTATCATAAGTTGAGTAGTTCAGTGCAGCCCCATTAAGTTTCTCACTAAAGTAGGCAATAGGCCTCCCACCTTGGTTCAACACAGCTCCAACCCCAATACTTGAAGCATCACAATCAATTTCAAATATTTTAGAAAAGTCAGGTAAAGCAAGTACAGGTGCATGTGTGAGTTTGTGCTTTAAAGCGCGAAAAGCCTGCTCTTGAGAATCTCCCCAATGGAAGTTCTCATTCTTCTTGATCAACTCGGTTAAGGGCGCAGCAATGGTGCTAAAGTCCCTCACGAATCTCCTGTAGAAACCCGCAAGTCCATGGAAGCTCCAAACATCACCCACCGATCTTGGTGTTGGCCACTCTTGGATAGCTTTCACCTTTTGGTCATCCACCTTCATTCCCTGCGCACTTATAACAAACCCTAGAAACACAAATTCATTAGTGCAAAAATTGCACTTCTTGAGATTGGCATAGAGCTTCTCTCGTCGAAGTACATCCATAACAGTCCTAAAATGCTCTGGATGTTCATCATAAGATTTTCTATATATTAGGATATTGTCAAAGTAAATAACCACAAATTTTTCTAAGAATGGATGCAGAACATGGTTCATTAACCTCATGAATGTACTAGATGCATTAGTTAGCCCAAAAGGCATCACTAACCACTCATACAATCCATACTTAGTTTTGAAGGCAGTTTTCCATTCATCCCCCTCCTTAATCTTTATTTGATGGTATCCACTTTTGAGATCAATTTTGGTAAAAAATACAACCCCATGTAACTCATCAAGCATGTTATCTAAGTGAGGTATAGGGTGGCGATACTTTACCGTGATGGCATTTACGGCTATACAATCGGTGCACATTCTCCACGTACCATCTTTCTTGGACACCAAAGTGATTGGGACAGCGCATGGGTTTAAACTCTCACGTGCCCATCCTTTGCCAAGCAATTCATCCACTTACCTTTGCAACTCCTTAGTTTCCTCCGGGTTGCTCTTGTGAGCTGGCCGATTTGGCAACGAAGCTCCAGGGACGAAGTCTATTTGGTGCTCAATGCCTCTAAGTGGTGGTAATCCACTTGGCACGTCCTCGGGAAAGATATCAGCATATTCCTGCAAAAGAGACTTAACCTCAAGAGGTATGTTAGTATCAAATTCATGCACATTCAGAGCTACTTTCTTGCTAACAAGCATAAGAAACGGTTGCTCATCCCTCATTCATTTCCTCACTTTCTTAGCTTTTATCAGGAGCATTTGTTTTCCCTCGGATTTTACCTCACTTGTCGAGCTATCTATAGCCTTTTTCCTCTCTTTTTTTGCCTCGGCTTTCTCATTTTCTTTCTTTTTTACACTATACTTCTCAAACTCTTGTTGCAATTTCAATTGGTTCTCATGCACTTGTTTTGGAGAAACGGGAGATAGGGTAACTTTCTTACTATTGTACAAGAAACTATACTTGTTAGTCACACCATCAAAAGTTACCTGCCTGTCAAACTGCCACGGCCTACCAGTATAATGTGACTAGCCTGCATAGGTACTACATTACATAATACTTCATCAGAGTATTTATGAATTTGGAAGGATATAAAAACTTTTTGGTTACTCGAACCTCCCCAGAATTGTTGAGCCACTGGAGTTTGTAGGGTCGCGGGTGATTCCTTGTAGGCAGCATCAAGTTGTCCACCATGAGTGAACTAGTTACATTTGTGCAGCTCCCACTATCGATAATCACACTACAAAGTGCTTGGTTGATGAAGCACCTAGTGTAGAAGATATTCTCCCGTTGAAACTCGCCCTCCTTAACACGTGCAGTTAATGCCCTCCTTGCAACCAAGGCGGTCCCAAAATGACCGTCGGGTGTACTAAATTCCTCTTCATTTGGTGACTCACCATCACTACCTCCTTCAAGTGGTGGTATGCTTTCGTACTCAGTTTCATCCTCACTCACGATCTCGTCATTTTGCATCATAATCATAGTCCTTTGATTGGGACATTGACTAGCAATATGGCCTCTACCTTGGCATTTGAAACATCGAGTATCACGCGCTCTAGTTTGTGCCCTAAGCTCCTCAAATTTTGGAGTAGAAGAGGATGGTTTACCAACACTAGAATTGCCCACCTTATTTTTCTCGAATCTCGACTTTGGCATAGGAGTATTTGGCGAAGACCGAGAATCATTCCGTGGTTGGAATGGGTGATTGGTAGAGTAGGTGGTAGCGTCGAAATTCGAACGAGTAGTACTCCTTCTCTTGAGCCTTTGCTCGACCTTAATGACCTTGTCTACAAGCTCATGCAACTCCATATAGTGTTGAAGTTCCACTCGTTCAGCAATATCAGGTCTTAACCCGTTCAAGAATCTCGCCATGATGGTTTCGGGATTCTCTTGTACATCCGCCCTAAGCATCAGGATCTCCATCTCCTTATGGTACTTATCCACACTCCGATTGCCCTGAACTAAGATTTGTAATCGGTGGTACAAGTCCCTAGTATAATGTCCAGGAACAAAGCGGGTGCGCATCATGGCTCGAAACTCGGGCCATGGAACGAGCTCAGGTAGCCCATTTCTTCTTCTAGACTTCTTGATTTGGTCCCAACAAACCACCGCGTACCCAGTGAATTCCATGGTTGCCAACTGTACCTTTTGCTCCTCGATGTAGTTTTGCCAAGCGAAGACCATTTCGATCTTGGATAATCATTCGAGAAAGGTCTCGGGATCGGACCGCCCTTTGAATTCAGGGATTTTCATTTTGATCCCCTTGAATACATCGGTAGGTCCAGTTGGGTTCCTTTACCTTGGCCGAATGCGAGGTTCCTCGTCATCATCATCATTGTTGGAACCATCGGACTCCTCTACGTCTCTTCGCCTTCCCATGGACTTAGAAGTTTATGGTGTTCCAGATGCTCGGAGTTGCAGCAACTCATCTTGAATGGGTTCTAGCATGCGTTGGAAACGCCTCTCCATTTGTTCCATCATTTGTTTAAAGTCCATGGGACAGGATACTCCTTCGTTTCCACTAGACATGGAGTCTCGAATGTACCTGCAAGGGTTAGTAACAAAGAAAGGGAAAAGAGAGAAGAAATGTTTGTCTCCCCTCTTTTTTCTTTTCACTTCACTCTCTAAGTGTATACTCTCACACTCGTGTATGGTCACTCAGATCACTCTAATGTTCTCACCAAAGATTTTCTCACAGCCCCTTGCAAATCTTGAAGAAATTAGAATTCCTCAAGTGCTCAAGTGTAGTTCAAAAATCAAGTTCACACTAGAATTTGAGATTCGTAAGAGTGAAAATTTTTCTTGGAGAACAAAATTAGGGCACTAAGAATGGAGTGGTAGAATATATTCAAGAATAAACATTGGAGAAAGACTTGACACAAAAGCTATAAAAAAATTAAGAATGACACTCGAAGACTCTAACCGACACGAAAGTTGGTCCTTTCGCTTGTGTTGTATTCCTCGGTCAGCTTACCAACCAAGGTTACCACATGCGTGTTAGTTGAACGGAGAAAATGAACGACTCAATAAACGACTCAAAGGCTGACCACGGCTCAATAAACGACTCAATAAATGACTCAAGCCTGAATTTTACGAAGCCTAGATGAGACACTATGGACGTTGGCTTGCTGGAATCTGGTCTTGCTACTGCCTTGGGTTCGGACTGGGGGTTTTATAGGGTATTGGTGCTTGTTTGGAATGCTCAGGTGTAGGGAGGTGGTATTCCTTGATGGTAATTGATAATGGTTCACAAGGTATGGTAACCGACGTGGGGAACAAGAGCTAGTGGGCGGTTGGTCTTTGTTTTAGGGAGCTGGTTTGTAGTGCGGCTATCTAGATAACAAGGTGTAGTGCGGCTGGTTGGGGCTGTTTTGGGGTCTGTTTGTTGTGCAGAGGTGCGGTTCAAATGCCAAGGTATCAATATGGGTAAGTGGGGGCTACAAATCAGGAAGCAATAAGAATGGAAACCCCTTTGGATTTAGAAATCAATCAAGATTGGAAGTCTTCCAGCGGCTGTCTCTCTCTTTTTTTTTTTGTTTCTTTGCTTTTCTAGATGTTCAGTCGACTATGTTCCTCTTCCCAAGTGCTCTAGGATGGCACCATAACTAAGATACAAACGTTCCTTTGGCTGCTGTGTTCGTTTTTTTTCTTTTTTTTTTTGCGCAACAGCAATTTCAGATGAACACGGGCTTTCGTTGGGCAGAATTTCCCAGGTCGGTCCGAGTTTAAGTGCGGCTTGTTTTGATGGTTTTTTTTTTGGTAAATAGGTAGGCTAGGTTTTGGTTCCCAAACGGGTCAAGGTTCAGCTCCAGGTATAGACCAACCTTTAGCAATCAAGAGTTGCAAATCAAACACAAAATTTCCAGCAAATAGCTTCAAGAACGTCGCTGCAAGTTTTCCAGATTTCAAAGGTTCAAGAATCACTTCAAGAACTCCAAGAAATCGTGAAGTTTTGCTTACGAAATTCAAGAACAAGGTACCAATATTCTCCTAAATAAATGAATAACTAAGACACGGATCAAAACATCTTTAGAACGAACTGCAACTCGACAAAGAGACACGAGCAGAAATTGGGAACTACCAAAACGGCAACTCCGCGACTTGGAAGGAATACTAACTAGAATTTTCTTGCCCCCCCTTTGTTTTTTTTTTTTGACTCAGGTTTGAGACTTAATCACAAAAGCAATAGACACAAAAACTGAACAATGGACACGCACAAACAATCAGGGAACCATTCGGACAGACTTGTCAAAGCAAGTGCGGCACGGACCGAACTCCTATGACTTGATGTTACTAGCACCATTTGATTCTTCAATTTGCTGGTCCCAAGCGGTGGAGAAAACAATCAGCAAGACACGACTAGATTTATTCACATGAGACTCAGCAAAAATTGGCAAAAACAAGGCACAGATTGCACAAGGTTCAATAGGCACAGAAATATGGAAGCGACAATAAGAACACTAGCGGTATGGGTTGGTTTCTTTTTTTTTTTTAACAACTGCTGGAATCACACACCACCAAACCAAACACAACACACTTGACTTACAGAAATTCCAGGAATCGAAGATGACAACAAGACAGAACCAAACAATGACGACCAGACTTGAAAGCAAAGGAAACTCGCGGCCAGGAACTCTCGGCCAGAATGCAACGTACACAAATTTTTTTTTAAACTACCGAGACAGACACAAATTAAGGCACGAAAAGAGGGATAGCGATGTTACCAACAACCTGGCTTTGATGCCAGCTGATACGAATCTCGTTGGGGAAGAGATTCGTGATCCAAGATCGCTTGTTGGAGTTGATGTCGGATGCAAGAAACGGTAGCAGCGGAAACCCTACGACTCCTCTAATCCCCGTGACTACGAACTTGTTGATATTATCTCAACCCGTAATCAAACGAATTAACGAACCTCAGGCAAGTGTAGAAGGCGCCACAATTCAAGTGTGGTTCTTGAATTGATAAGCCAAACAAGAACATTAGAGTAAAACTCTAAGTTGTTCAAGGGTTGCTCGAAAGCTATGGAGAAAATTCTCACACTAGGTTTTTATGATAAAAGTGTTTACCTTTCTCGATGTAATGTAGTGCCTTATATAGGCTACAAGTAAGAAACCCTAATCTAGTAAGGAAAAGGACTAAAGGTGCGGTGGATATGGGCCCTAATAAGTGACAAAATGGAAACGGAAGCTACGGGCTCGACCCTCAACGGGTTGAGCCTCACGTGGGCTTTCCTTCCTGGGCAGCCCACTCTAGCGAATAATAATGAACAATATAGCAATCCTACCCTTGGCGATTCTACGTGCAACATGCACTTAGCCAATTATTCAAGTTATTCAACTAATGTGAAAATAACTGACTATGATGCTAAAACGAAAACCCTAATCCTCAGGTGTGGCTTCAATGCTCATTACCGGACCGCGATCACCTTCACTTGAGTGTATGAATCCTTCAAAGGACTTGTGTATGGCCTGAATAAGTACATTGAGTTGCTCACAAAGTCTCTTTGCGCAAGCCCTAGTAATGGATCCGCTTCGAGCAAGTACGCGATCCTCAGCCCCTCGGTCACTCGAACCATTGTTGGCGTGCCCACATACCATGATACTATCATAATCTCATCTCCACTGAATCCCAGGAAAGTCATATTCCAGTTTCTTTTTGAATGAAAGCATTGACAGAATATTAAAACTTGCATTTGATCAACCACCATGAATGGAATTCCAAAACTAACCCAAATGTAGAAGAATGTGGCAGATTTGCGGTGCTTAGCCAATGAACAACCAAATGTCGTCATCTGGAATTCTGCAGGGACCTTTTCTTACATGAATCTTCCTAGATGAAAAATTTGTTTTGTCTTAATTTCGGATCATTATCTCAAACTAAATTATGGTAAGTATCTACTGCAGTTCAAGAAAATAAATCAAATACAACCAAACGACATTTTTAAATAAAAACATATGTTTACTAATTTCTTAACAAAAAAGGACTTTGCAGAAGACAAACAAGGGCAATGACAGGTGCAAATATCCATATAACTGACTAATTGATTAGAGGAACACTATGACCAATGATGAATGAAAAGCATGACCTTAGTTCTTATAAACATGCAACAAACAAAATTATCCAAATACTCTTGAAATACACTTAATAATGAGCTATTAACGGTTTGAACATTATTAAACTATTAAAAGTTTGAACAACACAGCAAATGCAAAACCATTTTCCACAATTTTTCATTTAAAGAAGCATATTGACCTGAGCATGAAGTCTTGCTGCTGCACCTCTGTTGGCTCAAAATATTCAATTTCTTCCATCTTGCATTCAGGTCTACAACTTTCTTCATCCAAAACTACCTTTTGCGGTAAAAGTTTCATTTATAGTGAACTAATATTACAAAAGTCAAATAGTTAAAAGGAAAAAAAGGGCAGTGGATATTCTAGTAGTTCTAGAAAATTTACCACGATTGATGGAGGATAAATGAACTCTCTAGTTAAGAGAAAATCATTCTATGCAATCTCTTATATAGTCCTATAAACAAAAGATGCGCAAATAGCAATCAGCTTTGAAATGAGTACTAATCTTTCAACTACTTGTACATAAGGAGTATGCTCTCACAACTTCTAACATCATAAAGAGAAAATGCAATGGGAAAATGCAAATGAAGCTTAGATCTGTACTAGCATAAATACTCGGTGCTATTTAATCCAATTTTTCCCTTTCTTTGCCTCACACTTCCTTCAATGGGATGGTTTAGAAACATTGATTCTCCAGTTACACAATTTAACCAAGAATATGACATAAAGTCCACAAATAATATTCACCTCCTAGAATTATAAAAAAATTTATTTTAAAGTTTAGTGTCTTCTTAGTCCCAATATACACCAATCCTCAGTGAACCTTAAGACTAAAACATTCTAAAGTTAATTGAAGAATTACACTTTAGTAAAGCTTTTAAAAGCATATTTAGTACATCCACAAGTTCTGTCAATTTGGAAAGCACAAACTGTAAAAATTGCTTCACATACAAGGAATCACTTTCTACTACAAGCAAAATGCAAAATACTAAAAGGCAAAGTTAGCAGAAAAAAAAGCACAAAATCAAGTACATGAGAATCCAAACCACTAAGTAAGGAAATTGTATATTATTGGCAGAAACAAGATACTTCATCTTGTTTGACCCAAAACA